CACACATAAACAAACACACACATAAACAAACACACACATAAACAAACACACACATAAACAAACACACAAACACACACACACACAAGCACGCGCACGGCCACACAAACACACACACACACAAACAAGCACACACACACAAACAAACACACACACAAACACACACACAGGTATTCCAAAGGCAGGTAGCCCTGCCCTTAGGACCACAATTCAGCCCAAAATTGATGTTGCTAAGTGAGAACATTTGTTCAGTGAGTTTCGCCCCCCCCCATTTTGCAACCTTTCTTGCCACAGTCGTTAAGCGAATCACTGCCATGGTTAAGTCAATAACACGGCTCTTAAGAGTGGATCTGCTCTTATCCATTGACCTGTCAGAAGGTCACAAAAATGGGGGACTACATGGCAGCCATCATAAATGGGAGACCACTGCCAAGAGTCTGGATTTCGATCAGGGGACTGGTGGGGGGATGCTTTAGGGGTCGTAAGTGTGAAAAACGGATGGCGGGGGAAATGGATCTCCTGGATTCCATGCATTTCGAGACACGTGGCCAGTGTCTCGAAACGCATGGAATCCAGGGGATCCATGCGTGTGCTGGTGTATTTGCATCTGTGTGCATGTTTCTCTCCCTCTCCCCCCACCCCCCGCCCACCACTTTGCAGGAAAAGGCTATCAGTATTTGGGAATCCAAGGACTTTTTCATGGAGCTCGACCCCCTGCCAGGGGCTGTGGAGGCTGTGAAGGAGATGGCAGGATTAGAAGGGTAAGTATCAAAGGGCCATCAAAATGGGAACAGCAGCAAAGTTCTCCAGATGTTTCATCCGCTGTGCTTCTCTAGATTAAGCCCGCAACGTAGAATCCTAGGGCTGGAAGAAGGGACCTCGGAGGTCTTCTAGTCCAGCCCGCACTCAAGGCAGGAGACCATCCTGGTCAAATGATTGTCCACTTTTGAAAACCTCCAGTTTTGTTGTTTTCTTTTTAAAGATAAAATCCAGTTTTCAAAACCAAGCATCCTTGGTTTTTTTTCCTGGTGAGTGGGAGAGCAGATGCTGGAGATGGAAAAACTGTCTGGTGGGGCGGGGGGGTGCGGGTGAGAAATCCTGCCCCTTCCGGAGAAGTTCCAGTACTTGAGTGGGAAATGGCCCAAGCATTCCAGTCTGTAGAAGACCTGGGAAGCTGAAAATTCTTTGTCAACCAAATCCCTGCATCACAAACCAGTTGCTACACCACTCCCATACATAGAAAGTTCTGTGGGAGAATCAGAATCCAGTTGTGGAAAAATAACAGAAATCTCTCTCTCTCTCTGTCTTCATGTTAGGACTGAAGTCTTCATATGCACGAGTCCCATCAAGAAGTATCGCTATTGCGCATACGAAAAGGTAAAACCTGCTCAACAAATCTCGAGTTACTCAGTGATTAAATCAGGAGAACCAGGATTTTATATTAAGGCAAGCTAAGCACTGCAGGTTTTAAAGGAATTGGTCTGATGTAACCTCACCTTCCAGCTCCCTTCCTTCTCTCAGAGTTGGCTTGTTGGCAGGATCCCTTTGCCAACAGGGTTAATTTATTTTTGTTTATTTGCGTATTGCCGTATTTTTCAGAGTATAAGACGCACCTAGTGTCAGCTCCTCTTCATTTACTAATTAGGAAAGAATGACCACGAGTCTCCATGTGTGGAAATCAAGTGTACTTTTACTAATTAAAAATGATTAAAGGCATAGCGTAGCGAAATCTGAACATTTAGGCGCGAAAGCGATTGATATATAGAATAGCCCATTCCCCACCCCTTGGCATCACAGTTAGAGGCCAATCATAATTCTCCCAAGTGTCAGGTGCGAGATAACTTCAAAAGGCATCACGAAGATGGAATGTCGACGCCGTTAATCCTGGCGGGAAACTCCCACGCATGCGTAGTCCGATCAGCCGGTGAACTCCAGAACCTTCCTCCAGCACAAAGAGTAACCCCACCCAAATACCATGCCCTCCCTCCCCGTTTCATGGCAGCCGAAGCAACAGCAAAGCAGAGGCTGACACCTAGCTTTGGGGGAGGAAAAACAAGGGGGAAAAAATCTGCTTCTGCCTCCCAGCAACTTGCCTCCTTGCAGCAAACGGCAAACAGCCAGTTTCAGCTTCAGCACAGCCTGATTAGCACAAGCAGCTGATTGTCGGTTGGATCAGCCTCCCGAGGATCAGCTGTTTCAGGATGCAGGGATTGCCATAGCCTATTGCCACCTCCATGTACACCATTTTCAGCCTCCGAACACCCCATTTTCCGGGGATCGGAATGGGCAGAAAACGGTGTACAGAGGCCAAAAATGAGATGCGGAGGCTGAAACTGGGGCGCGTGGAGGCGGCAATAGGTAATGGCAGTCCCTGCAGGCCGATCCAACCGACAATCAGCTGCTTGTGCTAATCAGGCTGTGTTGAAGCTGAAACAGGCTGTTTGCTATTTGCTGCAAGGAGGCAAATTGCTAGGAGGCAGAGGCCAAAGGGTGGGCGGAGCTACGTTCGGTGTATAAGACGCACCCACATTTTCACCCTCTTTTAGGGAGGAAAAAAGTGTGTCATATTCCCAAAAATGCAGTAAATTGATAACGCTATCCATCTCACCCTAAAAAATGAGTCTGGGCAGCTTTCATTTTGTCGCTCTCCCCGTCCTACAGAAAAAGCTCCCTTCTCCTCCTCCAGCCGAAAGTTTTCACGTTTATGTCCTCTGCTGCTTTCCAGTTCGCTTGGATAGAGAAGCATTTCGGGCACGAATTTTTGGAGCATTTGATTCTCACCCGGGATAAGACGATCGTCTCTGGACACATGTTGATTGATGACCGGCCTGATATCGTAGGTAAGTTAGGGAGGATTGGTGATGGGGAAGACAATCCCTGGAGCAGAAGTGGTCTTCAGCCGGTTCTGACCACTTCTGGAGAACCCGTAGCGGAAATTGGAGAATCGGGAAATAACACCTCTGGCTGGCCTCGCCCCCAGCGATTCGCCGCCTCCCTAGTCCCAGCTAATTGGCTGGATCTTCTTTTGTTACCCTGCACAGAAGAACAGAGCTTGGAAGAAAGTTGGTGGGGTTGGGAATGGGAGATTTTGATTGATTTGATTTTTGATTTTATTATATTTATATGCCGCCCTTTTCCCCCGAAGGGGACTCAGGGCGGCTCNAGTCCTGGGTAGATGGGGAGGGCGGAGGCTGCCCCACAGGATGCAAATGACAACCTCCCCACCATTGACCTTCCAAGAGATCAGAGGGTGGAATTGGGCTTTGGACAGGAGACCACCAGGCGATCCCAGAGGCCTGGGAAGGGGAAAGCCCATCTGTGAACAGGCAGAGTGACCCCCTCCCCCGGTCCTGATTCTCCCCCCTCCCTTCCCTCCTCCTCCCCCAATTCCCAGCCAGCCCAGGAGCGCCAGGTTGGGGAAGGGATCCTCTGCTCCCCCCCCCTTCCCTTCCTCCCCCGCCCGCGAGGGGTTTGCAAGCCAAGAGGCGGCACCCCCGAAGCCCCGCCCCGCCCGCAGGCAGACAGACAGACGCGGCAGCCAACGGGCATCTTCGGGAGGCGGGCTCCCTCCCGGCCCCCCCTTTCTCGGAGGCCGCCCGGGGCCGCAGCCGGACCGGAGGGCGGCAGCGGCCTCCACGTGCGCGCCCCTGCCTTGCGTCTCACCTTGGGCCGAGAGCTGCCGGACGCTGTTGACGAACTGCTCCAGGGCGGACGCCATGGCGGCGCGGGGAAGGGGGAGGGAAAGGCCCGGCCGGGTCAGCAGCCGCGGAGGAGCCGCCTCAGCCTCCTGCTCCTTCCCAGACGCAGCGGGAGCGACGTCGACGCCGCGCAGGGCCAATCGGGGGCCGCGCTTTTGGAACGTCACTTCCGGCTCGCGGCGCGAGAGCCCGGCTGGGGGTGTTGCCATGGGGATCGCCTGCCACCCGGAAGTGGGCGAGCCTAGACGGCCGCTTCCTGCCCTGGGCGGTTTTCGCGCACGCGCAGTGGTTAGACAACAGTCTCCGTCGCCCCGCCCTTTTTGCTGCAAAAGCGGGAGGAGGGGCTTCATGCAGACAGAAAATTGTGAAATGTCTGTTTATTATTATCTACACTATTAAACATCTACATATAATTAAACACGATGTGCATATCATTATTAAATAAATGTGTGTTTTGCATTGTCTTTATTTCATACATACATATATAGATATATTAAAAAAACCTCCTTTGCAAATGCAATGCAAAACCAAGATAATCCAAAATGTTAGATTAGATTCTTAATCTTGCTACTTTAAAAATGGGCTTTTGGCTCTTCCACCAATCCAGGAACAAGGGGGGAAAAGAATTTTGTCATCTAGGCATTTGTGAGATTGGACCACCCTTGGTCTGGAATGTTGGTTGGACTAGAAGACCTCCAAGGTCCCCTCCAGAATAATAGTCTGTTATTCTGGTTTTGCTTTATCGTGTGTCCTTTATACGTAGAAGGATTTAATGTGACGGTTTATCACGTAGGTCTTCTCCGCCCAAGCTTCTTCCACTTAAAAATAGAGGAGGGGGCCTCAACCCTCTTTGATTCCTGCCATGGAAGAAAGGCTCCTTCACCCCGGCACAATGCAGGGATCTGGAACCTGCCTAGGTGGGTAACCTCAGCCAGATGGATCCTCCAGGAAAACCATCAACAAGTCAAGAAAAGACAGTCGGGGCCCCACCAAATGTCCTAATTTGTGCCCGGAGGCTCAAATCCCTGGACTTCCGTTGGCCCTGGCCACCCCCTTGACCAGAGAGCAGAATTTGAATTCAACTTGCATCAGAAATGCTTCTGGGGTCTTCAGGGCAGTCGGTTTTCAGGCTTGAAATCCAGAGGTTTGCTGGTTGCAAGACGCTGAGACCTTCTGGATGGTCTATCCCGTCGGCTCTATAAATGGCCCTCCTTGAGTGTCCGCAATGGGGAGGCCACCAACTGGTCATTAAGTGAAGCTTCAGTGAAAAACCTAGAGGGTGCTTAGGAAGGGGGTTGCAATGCAGGAAAAGCCGATGCCTTGCAATAAAATCTGGACAAATGTGAGAAGAGATGCTTTTGTATAAAAAGGTGGGCATTTCCAGGAACGCTGCTGCCTTTCCATAAAGTGGCTTAGTGGGCAAAGGGAGAACCAGACCCCCTTCCTGGCTTTATTTCCTGGAAGACCCCCGCAGGCCCTCTGACCCTTCCAGCCCACGCCAGGCCTGCTTCGCCTTCCTCTCCCCCTAAAGCCCCGCTGCAGCGGTTCTGCCTGGCCAGCTCCGCGGCCGGGGGAAAGGAGCGCAGAGAGGCCCGGGGCGAGGGCGCGCGAGGACGCAGCGGGGCGCGCGAGGCTCCCGGGTTGGCACGGAAAGGAGAAGCCGCGGCTCGCTGCCCAGCCTTCCCCCCCCCCCTCCCCGCCGCCCTTTCGCAGGCGACGGCACGGAGAAGCGGAACCCCCGCCGGGCCGGTTGCTGGAGGGAAGAGGCCGGCCTGGGGCTCGGCTGAACTGGAGCGGCTCCCCCCGGCTCGCTGGGAGGCTTTGGGCAAGCCATCTCCCGTTTGCTGTTCTCTCTTTCCTTTGCCTTTCTTTCTCTTTCTTTTCTTTCCCTCGGCCCCCTCGCTCTGTCTCTCCCCAACCCTTCCTCCCTTCTTTCTAATCCCTCCCTCCCTTATTCCTCCTACCCTTCCTTTTTCTTTCCTTCTTTTCCTTTCCTCCCCCCTCCATACCTCCTTCTTTCCTTCTTTCTAATCCTTCCCTCCTTCCTCCCTCTTTCCTTTCTTTCCTCCCCACTCCATACCTCCTTCCTTCCTCCTTTCTGATCCCTCCCTCCCTCCCTCCCTCCCTCCTTCCTTCCTTCTTTCTTTCTTGCTAATCCTTCCTTCCAGCCTTCTACTCTTCATAGCTTCTTCCTTCTTCCCTCCATACCTCCTTCCTTCTTTCCTTCCTTCCTTCCAATCCTTTCCCCTTCCTCCCACTCTCCATAGCTCCTTCCTTCCTTCCTTTCTAATCCTTCCGTCTTCCCTCCATACCTCCTTCCTCCTTTCTGATCCCTCCCTCCCGCCTTCCTTCCTTCTTTCTTTCTTTCTAATCCTTCCTTCCAGCCTCCCACTCTCCATATCTCTTTCCTTCTTCCCCTCTTTCCTTCCTTCCAATCCTTCCTCCCACTCTCCATAGCTCCTTCCTTCCTTCTTTCTAACCCTTCCGTCTTCCCTCCACACCTCCTTCCTTCCTCCTTTCTGATCCCTCCCTCCCGCCTTCCTTCCTTCTTTCTTTCTTTCTAATCCTTCCTTCCAGCCTCCCACTCTCCATATCTCTTTCCTTCTTCCCCTCTTTCCTTCCTTCCAATCCTTCCTCCCACTCTCCATAGCTCCTTCCTTCCGTCTTCCCTCCATACCTCCTTCCTTCCTCCTTTCTGATCCCTCCCTCCCGCCTTCCTTCCTTCTTTCTTTCTTTCTAATCCTTCCTTCCAGCCTCCCACTCTCCATATCTCTTTCCTTCTTCCCCTC